TTTTTTTTTTTTCCGAAATGATATATTTTATAGATAAAAAAACACAAATACAATTAAATATTAACTAGAATAAGCCAAGCAACTATTTAGCTGGATCTAGGGAGACTATGCTACGGTGGGCGTCTAGAGATTACTTTAACTCACTCACAAGACACACAAAGAGATAGTTCAATAAACCGCAAGGGATAATTCAACTTCTACATAGGAGAATAACAACAAACGACAAGGAAAGAAAACACCACAATAGTACAGCACAAAATAAATACCTAAATAACACTAGAAACAAACACCAATAAAACAACATACAAGCACATATTTTGTAGAATAACACCCTCCTCTTCTCAGGTGAGACAATTCGCAACACACAAGGATCTGACACCCAGAGACAACTGCCCATTCGGGTAGGACTCCTGCTCGAGCGCTGCTCCAGAAACTCCAGTGTAGTCACGACTAGTTGAAACGACACCAGACGCCAAAAATCTTCTCCCAGACAGACGCCTCTGGAGCTGAAATCGGAGGCCGGCCGACGACCCCCCCCCCCCCCCCCAATTCCTCTCACCGACAACACTCGAAGACCCAACAACCCGATCAACCGCACAACCTACCTGCCTTAAAAGCCTCATGTCAACCTCCGGACCAAGCCCTTCCCACCAAAGCCCCATCTGCCCAATCACCCCGTCAACCTCTGGACCAAGCCCATCCCATCAAAGCCCTATCAGCCCAACCACCCCATCAAGCCCGAACCACCAAGATAGAGAGACAGAGAGAGAGGAGAGGGTCTTACCTCAACCCCGACCCACACCAAGTATGCGGGTCGGAATCCGACAATTTGTCGCTCAAAAATCGAAAATTCCTGTGCTGCGACATAGGCACCACAGCAGAGCCATACACCGGCGGGGTCTTCGGCTCCAAAGAGGCGAACACCGCGGCCAGCGGTGGCTGAAACCGGGTCACACGGAGAGCCCTGTAGAGAGGAGGCGCGACGACAATGGACGGCTCTACGAGGCTAGGGATTTGGGGGGATAATATTTTAGAGAGAGAAATAGCAGAAAACCTTTTCTTTCTTTTTTTTTTTAATTTTTATTTTTATTTTTTAGGTTAGGCTCATATTTTGGCAATATATATGTAGCCTATGTTTGGTAAACTTAGTTGATAAAATAACTTATAGCTTCTAAGTGAATTCAGAGCTTATAACTGATAGTTTACGATTTATAGTTGAAAACCTAGTTTATATAATAAAATATTTAGTAAAATTAGTTGATAAACTAACTGAAATAAAAAAATTCAATTGACTTATTTGATAAGCTATTTAATAAAGCTTATAAGATAAGTTCGAGTTTTTTAAAAAAACTTGTCTTATCAAATCAAGTTTATTTGAATACAAAGAGTTTATAAGCTAACCAAATAAGCTACTAAGTTTACCCAATACAACCATAGTTCGTTGGAATGAAAAAATCAATAAAGTTATTGATAAGAAATAATTTATGACATTTTTGTTTTGAAGTTGGTCTTTCTTTTATATGAGATATGAATTATGCTACAGTGGCATGAGAGATGACATAAAATTTAATACAATAATATGTGTCACGATTTTATTGCTTTACACATCACATGTTTTCTTTAACATTATCAACTGTTAGATTATCATATCAATTACGGCCGCTCTCTATGTCAACTGAAATCAACGACTATTAAGGGCATGCTTGTTTACCAAATAATTAATTCAAAATGAATTATTTTGGTTAACTAGTGTTAAATTTAAAAAATATAGTATGATTAGTTGTTAGTGGGATTTGAAGAATATATTAAAATAATATTAAAAAAAAATTAATATTGATAGGAGATAAATGATTGGAAATGAAAGATAGTTAAAATTATGTGAGTGGATTATAATGAATTAAAGTTGATGTGATGTGTAAAAGTAATTGGTTTGTATTATTTAATTATATGAATAATATCAAAAGATAGTGATGTTGAGTTAAAGTTGTGTAAGATTTTGAATGTGAATTAAATGTGAGTAATTATTTGATAAACAAGCATGCCCATCATAATAATTTGGTCAACCTCTATGTCAATTAATTATATCAATGGCTCAATAAAAAATGAAGCGTAATAAATCATTTCATAGACAGAACCAAATCAAGTTGGCCTTATCTTCTCATGTTGCAAGAAAAGTTCAAAAATGGTTCTAGGTCAGAATTGTCGATCCTGGGTTGAGGGTTAGCGGGCTCTGAACCGTTACATATATTCACGGGACGATTCAATGAACCGCCAGTTCAAGGCCGACCTGATTTAATTAAAAAATAAATAATAATAAACTATATTTTTTTTAAAGGGACGAACAATCTGGTTTCGGTTCAGAACTGGCCCAAAGGTTAAAAAACTACAAATATGTGCCCCAAAATCGACATGGTCAAACTACAAGCTCAGTTCGAGGCTTGTTGAGCACGGGCCAGTTTCGGTCTAAACCGTTGAGCCGTGTCGGGCTTGGCTGTGGACATGTCTAATTGCACCATATATTAGCCACTTATACATTACTAGAAAGTTACAAGTGCGACACACATGATTATTAGGATGTGCTTGGATATAATTTTGTGATTGAATAGTTTTGTTTTGATTGAGTTTTTTTTTTTTTGTTAATTATAGTTAATTTTTAAAAAAGTTGGTTGGGTTAGGTTTGATCGACATTTTTAGTTTGTATTAAAATAATAGAATAATAGAAGTTTGGTACACAAAAGACCATCGACTGGCTGGAATTTGGCCTGTATTGAGCTCCACGCCAGTTGGACGCCTTGAGACCTGCAAAAACTCTCACACCGGAGGAGTTTTCCAGTAAAGAGAATTCGAGGCATAAGTTAGCATTGTGAAGAAGATGAAGTGTTGTATGGATGTAGAGAATATAGATAGTGTAATGTGATAATGGACATACCTCACTCCCTTCTATAGGGAGATGATACCTTGTTTCCCAAGATTGCTAGAGTGGGTTGTCCAAACTGCCCGAACTTGTTAGGTCACGTGGCCCTATCCACCTGAGGTCCTTATCCTACTTATGATTTCTTCTCATCCCTTTGTCTTATGTATCAGACTGCCTATTGTGCGACTAGCTCGAGACCTATTGTGGTAGAATGCCGCCTGTTGTGAGCCTAAGTGTTGTCCATCCGGTCGTTAGCTCGACCAACCATACTTTTAGGTCGAGTTTCTAACAGGCCATTCGAGGGCCCTAGCTCGACCTGTTGCTTCTCCTAAAAACCCTGAAGTCTTCTTCGGCCTGAAGAATCTCTGCTTTGCACTGGTGTTCGATCTTTGTTCGACCCTCCTGCGGCTCTGTTCGACCGATTGGTTTGCTCGCTCTAATCGACTGGTTTATTGGGTTTGCTCTTTCAGATAAGGTATTCCATATCATCTGTTATTCCCCACTCTGGTTGAGTTATGATAACTTGATCTAAGAGTAAATGTCCTTGAATTTGGTCGGTGAATTCCAACTTTTTTATTGACCTGTCTGTTTGCGTTTTCCTCATTTTTGCTATACCGCCTTCGACCTCTTCCTGGTGTTTTTAATTTAACTTTTGAAATTCAAACCTCTGCACTCATATCAGATCCAACTAGTCACAACCTCCCATCGACTTCAGCACTTCCTAAATCTCGCTGGCCTCATACAATGTATCCGTTAAATGCCTCATTAATGTCGTTCGTTGGATCTACTTTTAATCCAACGGTTAAACTTCGTTGTCTTTTCAACTGGCTTGTCTCATCTTAACCACTAATACCGACCTTGATCCAACGACATCCAAGATTTGTCTCTTCAGCTTCATCTTCTTATAATCTCAGCCCTTAATTTTGATCCTCATCTGATGATCTAGCTTCTACAGAATTTCCAACATACCTGCCAAAATTCTGAATCGGTTGCGATCTAACAGACAGGGTTGATATGCACACGTGCCTTTCACCTATAAACAACCTAAGACCGAAATTATTTGTTTTTCCACCTTTGCAAAATATTTCTTAGCAATGATTGTGTTATTTCTCTCTCTGGAATCAGATTCTCCAACTCGCAGTTGATCTCCCACTCTCCACCACTGTTCCACGATTTCTACATATTTCCAGATCAATCATCTTCAATCCTCGACAATGAGTACGTGTTTTTGCCCTTCGACTTGTATGTTTAATTTTGTTTTCTTTTCGGTTCCTCCCAAATTAACCGACTACGACACTCTTCCTCCTCATCCTTTTTTTTTTCTCCACAAAAAACCTAAAAATCTTCTCTTTTGTTTTTTGTTTCCAGACTCCGGCACTTCTAGTGAGGTCAACCATTTTTTAGGCAAATACATGACCTCTCTGTCTTCCTCTTTGAGCCCTCGGCCTAATTTTCTCATTCTCCGACCCCTTCAGTTGAAGAAATCCTGCAGTCAATCCCGCTTTCTATGTTGTCCATTCAAAATCAATCGACCTCACTTAACCTGGTGATCTCACCACCCCAATTTCCTCGTCGATCTCTCAAGTTGGTCGATGAGCATAAAGAAGAAGACGAGGATGACGAGGTCCTCCAACATGCTCCCTTATCCTTCTTTTCCCACCTTTCGACCTCAATTCCCACTCCTTAAGCTGGCCCATCTTTCAGCCGCCAACCTCATACGTCTGATTCTCCTCCTCTGGTCGATTTGACTTGTACTCCCCTCAACGGCACATAGTGGGTTCTCGATGTTCTCGACGTTTCTGGTCGGGTTCTGTGTTGGATGTTCATATTCCTATCCCTCTCGAC